TGCTACTGATTCCTAATAAATTGATTTTTTAATCATTATATAATATCATTCTTTGCTTTATGTGAGGGTTTTGTTTTGTTTTTGAGGCAAATTCTGACTCTCACCCAGGCTGGAATATAGTGGTATGCTCACAACTTCTTCTGCTGGGTTTAAGCAATCCTTTCTCCAGAACCTTCCAAGTAGCTGGAATTGCAGGCACACACCACCATGCTCAGCTAATCTTTTTTACTTATTGTAGAGACAAGGTCTCTTCAATTTGTTCAGACTAATCTTGAACCCCTGGGCCCAGGCTATCCTCTTACTTCTGCCTCCCAAACAGGTGACAGTTTTTTACTTTGTGTTTTGTCTAATGGTACTATTTGCATATAATGCAGTAAGTTCCCTACATGTGAGACTTTAAGTTGCGAGCTTTCAAAAATGCAAATATTTGTTCTCTTGTTTGGTACCATGGCTCACTTTATTGAATGCACTCTCAATATGGAATTTGTTTGTATGTGGAAGACATAGTGTATCTTTTTCCATCCTATTTCTTTCTGCCCATTTGACTCCTTACAGTTAAGGAAATCTCTTAAAGCTAGTAGATTGTTAGAACTTCTTGTTCATCCATCATTCATTTTTAGTGATTAGGGCATTTAAAGTAATTACTGAAAGGGAAAGGCTTAGTGTTTCCATTTTTGATTTATTTTCTATGTTTTACTGTAGCTATGTTGCCCTTCTCTCTTATTGCTTACCTTTGTGTTTTCTTTTACTTTTCTTTTGGTGGTGACATGCCTGATTACTTTTATATTACCTTTTGAGTCCCCTCTATGGGTATTTTCTTTGTGATTCCTGTGACAAATGGAGAATACATAATACATAGTAAAGTTATACCAATACATCTTATTATCATAACAAGTTAGCCTGGTGCAGTGGTTCACACCTGTAATCCCAGCACTTTGGGAGATAAGAGGTGAGAGGATTGCCTGAGCTCAGGAGTTCAAGGCCAGCCTGGGCAACGTGGCAAGACCTTGTCTCTACAATAAATCAAAAAATTAGCTGGGCTGGGCATGGTGGCATTTGCCTGTAGTTCCAGCTACTTGGAAGGCTGAGGCCGAAAGATCACCTGAGCCTAGGCGGTCGAGGTTATGGTAACCACCGAGTGAGACTCCAACTCAAAAAAAAAATCGTAACATGTTAACTTTAATTGCATGCAAGCCCTCTATCTCTTTACATCTCCTCTCACTTTATTAATGCTACAAATACATACATTTTATATTGTATGTGTATTAACAAATGTGTGCAAATTTTACTTGTTCAATAATGCCATAGCAGATTATGAGCATTTTAGACAACATAATTTTGATAGCAGAGCATTTTCTATTTTGATATGGTTATCTTTGACAGAGCTTTGCATTTTAATATGGTTTAATGATGCTGTTCATCCTTGTTTTATTTTTCTTTTGTTTTTTTTTTTGAGTTGGAGTCTCACCTTATCCTCGACCTGCTGGGCTCCAGCAATCCTGCCGCCTCAGCCTTCCAAGTAGCTGGAACTACAGGCGCGCGCTACCATGCCCGGCTAGTTTTTGATTTATTGTAGAGATGAGGTCTCACCAAGTTGCCCAAGCGGGTCTCGAACCCACAGGCTCAGGCAGTCCGCTCACCTCAGCCTCCCAAGGCACGGAATTACAGGCTGAGCCACCGAGCCCGGCTTGTTTTATTTTTCAAGAGAAAAATTCCCTTGAGCATTTCTTGTAGGACTGTTTTAGTGGAGACACACACCCTCAGTTTTGCTTATTTTGGTAAGTCTTTATTTTTCAACTACAGTTATTCCAGATCTAGTACTCTGGGTCCATATTTGTAAATTCTTCCTCTCTGGATTCACCCAATCAGGGATCAAAAATATTTTGAAAAAATAGATTTTGCCTCCTGTCATCAGGATATTGGTCTGCTTGATGCTGTCCAATAAGCCCCATAGTCTGTATACATCTTACATTCTTTTTATTCATTTTGTATCCCTGTCGCAATTTTTATAAATGATACGTTTTTAATTTTCTGAATTTTTTCTGCGTGATTATGACTATTATACCCTTCGAGTTAATTTTTTTAAATTCAATTATTGTATTTTTCAGCTTCACTGTTTTATTGAAGTCTTTTTTTATAGTTTTACTCTATATTGATATTCTGGTTTTCTTCTTATGTCTTTTTTCTTTTGATCTGTTTCCTATTTTACTTATCGAGCATGTTTAAGATGATTATTTTGAGTTTTTCCAAATAATGCATAGATCTTCATTCTTTTAGGGTAGATTTATGTAAATTTGTTTCTTCAACTGGGATATGTTTTCATGTATATATTTGAAAATTTAAAATTAAACAGCTGATTCCAATAATTAATAGTCTAGCTTTTTACAAGGAAATATTGACATTGATAAACTGGGCTATAGATTATGGGTACTTCTCAAATATGATGTCAGAGTGTGTTGACTCCATTTTCTGATTTCCAAAGATTGTCCTGTTTCATTTTTAGATCCCATAATCTTTGCTTCCCCAGTATATTGTCTGTGGTATTAAAGCTTTTCTGGTGCTGTAAAAAACATTAATTTTTTTACTCAATAGACATAAGCCTGTCATCCATAATACCACTCTCATTTTCTTCAGCACTTCATGGAGGGTGACAAAAAACAGTCAATAGACATATCCACAAAAAGCCAAAACTTTGAAAGCAAAATCCACTCTTTTAGGTCTCTCTTGAGGGAGATATTGAGAGTTGGAAGTTTTCTTCAAAGCCCACAATGATGTTCTGGGGTGAGGAGGGCATGTGGACAGACAGCTCTAAGCCATACCTGGCCACCTTTCTGGAGAAAAGGAAAGAGCCCTGGAATATGAAGGGAGAGAAGACAGTAGCCGTATACTCTAAACTCAAGTAGGTGGGAATACATGTGCCAGTGACACAGATGAGAGGTCCAAATATCCAAGAAGCCTGACTTTAAAGTGTGGATTGGGAAGCTCTGCTCCAATGAGAATTTTGAGAAGCCTAGGTTTCTATTGCTGACACAGAGAGACATCTTCCATTTACCCTAATGCTCTTCAATCCTACATCTTGTCTTTCCTTTTTAGTGCACTTCCAACACATTCAGAGTAAGAGCCAAAGTTCTCATGTCTTGTGAGGAACTGTGTGATCTGACTGCTCTTTCATTGCTTTGGGAGTTTTGGAAAAATCTGGGTATATTTCTAGGGATTCCTCTTTTAAGTCATTTTAAAAGTTCCATTTATGTCTTATGTCAGAAGTATGTAAGGGGAGGAGTGGAGTTGTTGGGATTTAGTTCAGAAATCTCAGGAACACAAGTACAGATATGTTACATGTTCTCTGCATTATAATATGCAGTTTTATGGGGATTTCCAAACATAATCCTACAGGAATTTGGACTGAGTCATTTTATCAGGGCACAAAGCATGATATTAAATTTCTTAAAGCATAATGTGTTATTACATTAAAATTTTTAGTTTGAAAAGTTTTGAAGTGACATACTTGAATTTATATATCATGTAAGAGGTGAGTTAGATAATTAGTAAGCATTCCACTTTTGTTTAAGTTTTTTTGTTTATTGCATGTGAAAAGTTTATCATTAGCATTTCCTTCCACTTTACTCAACCTGTATGTAAATAATAATATCATGAATTCCCAGTGGCTCATTTTATAAATCAGGGTCTCATACTATATTTTATAATATTCATATTCTCTCCAGTGTTTATAAATGTAAGGTTTTCCTTCATTCCTAAAGGCTACATTACTGCTTTCCCTTTTGTGTAAACATAACAGCATCAGAAACGTCTTTTGCCAACAAAATTATTTAAACACCTGTATGGTTTTATAAATTTTATTTTTGTTATAATGCATATATTTCTTGGTCAGTGGTTGTTTTATCTTATCTAGATGAGTCTTGGAAATTGGCCTACTTTCATCATATGTTTATCGATCAATGAGTATATATCACCTTTTTGTGAAACACTGAGAGTGAATTTGCCTCTTGTTACTGGCTTATGTCACTTAGAATAATGCCCTCCAGATTTATTCTGGTATGTAAGATATCCTGCTATTTAAATGCTGAATAATATTCCATTGTTTGTACATTTTAAATTGTCATATTTGATTAAAGATGTTTGGCTTGTTTTCAACTGTTAGCTTGTGAATAATGTTGCAGTAAATATCAGTGTGCAAAATAACCCTTCCATTTTAATCTAAATGCAAGAATTTATTTCTATCCTCTTTCTTTAGTGGAACTGTCTGCCTTTATGAAATCTCCAAATTGCTTTAATTACTGTAGCATTTTCGTGGACCTTATAGTTTCATATGAGTTTTAGGATTGCTTTTTTTGCATTTCTGAAAAAAATGACATGGAGAATTTGGCAAGGATTATGTTGAATCTGTAGATCACTTTGGTTCATATGCATATCTTCCCAGTCATGTGTTTGCCACAACTCAGGATATTTCTTCTGCAATGCAGCCTCTCACAACAACACTAGTTGAAACATGCACGCTGATGACTTTTTGGAACATTTAGTGGTGTTGAAAGCTTGTACTACAAGGGACTCACTCTCCAAAAAGATAACAGGCTGTTTTTATGTTCCACTTGTATACCATTTTTTAAAAGTTATAATCAATTTTGTGTTGCTTGTAAGGCTCACTACAGCCTTGAGCTCCTTGTTTTCATCTGATTGCATCATGTCTTGTGAAGGATGAGAAATTATAGTGGCAAAATTACTAAACTTCCTCTTCCATGTAACTTTTTAACATTCTGCTCCCTGGGGATTCTGAAATGTCTTACCTGTTTTTTGAGTTCTCACAAAGGCATTGTGGTATTTTCTTAAGAATGTATATTTATGAAGGAGTGGAAAACTGTGATTTTTTTTTTACTTGCCAACATGCTTATGTCCTTACCATGGTATAACATTATGTTAGATTTCTAAAGGATAGTCACTTGACTCTCGTACGTAGAATAAATTTTTGTTTTCATTATTTTTAGCTGTGACTTCCAGTTACACCGAGGGCCTTTTGCCAGAGAAGAGCATAGAAGAATCTCTTACAAAGGTGCCAATGGGAAGATATAGAAGAAATGTGCCTGAGGATGAAGGGCAGATAGGATGTAACCATTACAAATGTAACAAATGTGGGAAGGTCTTTAATCAACACTCCAAATTTATTATGCATGAGCGAACCCATATTTTTGAAAAGGCTTCCAAATATGAATATGGCAAAACATTTAACCAGTCCTCAAAATTTAGTAAACATGAAAAAATTAGTAATAGAGGAAATTTGTACAGATGTAATATATGTGAGAAAGTGTTTAGAAAATCATCACATCTAAATAGACATGAAAGAATCCATACTGGAGATACAGCATTCAAATGTGAAAAATGTGATAAAGCCTTTGATCGGTATTCACATCTTATTGACCATCGGAGAAGCCATACTGCAGATAAACCCCACAAATGTCAAGTATGTCAAAAAGCCTTTGTTCAGTACTCAAATCTTATTCAACATCAGAGATTCCATACTGAAGAGAAACCCTTCAAATGCGAAGAATGTGGCAAAGCCTTTCGCTCTCATAAAGGATTTACTGGACATATGACCATCCATACTGGAGAGAAACCCTACACGTGTAAAGAATGTGGCAAAGCCTTTCGTTCTCATTCAGAACTTACTGTACATATGAGGGTCCATACTGGAGAGAAACCCTATAAATGTGAAGAATGTGACAAAGCCTTCTTCTCCAATTCAAACTTTGCTCGACATATCAAGGTGCATACTGGGGAGAAACCCTATAAATGTGCTGAATGTGGCAAAGCCTTTCCCTCTTATACAGAACTTGGTAGACATACAAAGACCCATAATGGGGAAAAACCCTACAAGTGTAAAGAATGTGGCAAAGCCCTTCGCTCTTATTCAGGACTTGCTGGACATATGAGAATCCATACTGGAGAGAAACCTTACATGTGTGAAAAATGTGGCAAAGCCTATTGCTCTTATTCAGGACTTTCTGCACATGTGGCCACTCATACTGGCGAGAAGCCCTACAAATGCAAAGAGTGTGACAAAGCTTTTCGCTCTTATACAAAACTTACTCGACATACCAAGATCCATACTGGAGAGAAACCCTACAAATGCAAAGATTGTGGCAAAGCCCTTCGCTCTCAATCAGGACTTGCTGAACATATGAGGATCCATACTGAAGAGAAACCCTACAAATGTGAAGAATGTGACAAAGTCTTTAATTGGTACTCAAGTTTTATTCAACATCAGAGAATCCATACTGGAGAGAAACCCTATAAATGTAAAGAATGTGACAAAGCATTTAGGTCTTATTCAGGACTTGCTGTACATACAAAGATCCATACTGGGGAAAAGCCCTACAAGTGTAAAGAATGTGACAAAGCCTTTTCTTCCCATTATAAACTTGCTCGACACATTAAAATCCATACTGGAGAGAAACCTTACAAATGTGAAGAATGTGATAAAGCCTTTAATTGGTACTCAAGTCTTATCGAGCATCAGAGAATCCATACTGGAGAGAAACCATACAAATGTCAAGAATGTGGCAAAGCCTTTCGCACTCATTCAGTACTTGCCGTACATACAAAGATCCATACTGGAGTAAAACCCTACAAATGTGAAACATGTGGCAAAGCCTTTCCCTCCCATTCAGTACTTGCAAGACATGTCAAGATCCACACTGGAGAGAAACCCTACAAATGTGAAGAATGTGGCAAGTCCTTTTGCTCTCATATAGGACTTGTTGGACATATGAGTACCCATACTGAAGAGAAACCCTACAAATGCGAAGAATGTAACAAAGCCTTTAATTGGCACTCAAGTTTTATTCAGCATCAGAGATTCCATACTGGAGAGAAACCTTACAAATGTAAAGAATGTGACAAAGCCTTTCGCTCTCGTAGAGGATTTGCTGGACATATGATCATCCATACTGGGGAGAAACCCTACAAATGTGGCGAATGTGACAAAACCTTTAATTGGCACTCAAGTCTTATTCAGCATCAGAGAAACCATACTGGAGAAAAACCCTACAGATGTAAAGAATGTGACAAAGCCTTTACCTCTCGTTCAGCACTTGCTCGTCATAGGAAGGTCCATACTGGAGAAAAACCCTACAATTGTGAAGAATGTCACAAAGCCTTTAGTCGGTACTCAAATCTCATTCAACATCAAGGAGTCCATATTAAAGGAAAACCCTACCAGTGTAAAGAATGTGGCAAAGCCTTTCGCTCTCTTGCAGGACTTGCTGGACATATGAGAATCCATACTGGAGAAAAACCATACAAAAGAGAGGAATATGAGAAGGCCTTTAGCTCTCATTTAAAATTTGCTTGACATATGAGCATCCATATGTAGGGAATTCTACAGTTGTATTAAGTATTACCCATAGAACATTATGTTTCTATATTTTACATTAAAACATCATCAGTATTCATAGCAGTTGCTCCATGCAAGAATATTAATACTAATATTAATACTACCCAACATTGAGCACAACTCTGTTTTCAGGCCAACCATGTAACAATGAATCCTAATTCTTAAATTTATAGTCAAAGATGTTTTTAGAGATAAGGTTTATGAAATCATAATAAGCAAATATAAGTTCTTAAGGCAAATAGTTTTACAATGACAGAAGACTCTTGTTTCTCATCTAAAGACAGCTTCACAGATCATTTCGAAATCCCTAGAGGTACACATAAACCACATTTGACCCCATTCTTGAAGTCAGTCTTTTTAAAGAAAGGATCAAATTCTACTTGTTGAAGGTAACAAGTCTGAACTGACACTCAGGCCTTGGTTCTGGGTCAGTTTTCTGGAGTCAGGCCATTCAGTATCTTCATTAGTTAATATAAGCAAGTATGCATTAGCACTGTCTTCTCTTTCAGCTCTGCAATCTTTTCCAGTAGAGGTACATTGTGAATATCCATCTCAGATGCTTTTACCGTGGCTTTTGTTTTTAAGAGAGAGCACAGCATTTTGTCACTAGAAAGGCAGAAGTGACCTTTCAAGGCAGCCAGGGTAGCATGAGTACAATATGAATGGAAAGCAATGGGAATTTCACAGGAACCACAGAATAAAACTTTGTAAGTGGTGCCTTTGAACAAACTTTCAATGCCAGCCAGGAAGGGCACTTCCAAAATGACTTTATTTGTTACTCTGGAAAATACCATAGTGCCGAGGAATTGTAACAGATCCCAGGCAAGGTACACTGAGCCAGCAAGCATCGCATGGCATGACACAGTGTGGCAAAGTGCACTCTGGAACACAGCACACCTCTCAGGCTACAAGCAAAGACCCTTTTACCATCTGCATGTCCCACTTTATGGAGATCATAAAAAAAGTTTCCTCAGTCACCCTTTTAGCCCCAGAACCAAAGTCACCCTGGGGCAGCTTTGCATGGCCTGGGAGATGCTTCTGCAACGGAGCAGCCATGTTTTCACAACTGATGCCGCTATTTCAAATGCCTCTATAACACTCTTATTTTCAGATACTACACTAAGTCAAAATTAAAACCATTAGATTACTTACTTACATGTTGAGTAGAATTATAAGACTTTTTTTTTTAGGAAAGCATAACTATATTCTGTGTGTGCTTTTGTTTTTGCATTGCCAGAATTTAAGATTATTTTGAAAATCAAATATTAATGATGTAACTCACCTCACTTGTTGCTATGCCTTTGTTTCTAGCGTTCAAGTAAAAGCATGTGGTCAATTTTTGCTACATTAGAGCTATGATGGGTCCTTCTGTACTAGATGAGCAGCGGTCATCTCAAGTTTTCTGTGGACGATAAAGAACACTGATATGTAATCTACCTTAAAAGACCTAAGTGGAGAGGTTTTTTTGTGGCTCACATTGAGCGTTGTTGTATGTCCTGTATTAGGTGGGTGCTGAAGGTAGCATTTTGGTGGGGGGGAGTCTTGTAGTAAAAGACAAAGAAATACTGAGAGTTTTAGAAATGAATTGCATAAATATCAGTACTTAAAAGCCCTAAGTGTTATTTCATAGGGTATAAATATAGTTTCCTAAACACCAGAGAAAAGATAATTGCTCTCTTAGAAGGTATATATATTGTAAGTTTATGTTTAGTAAATAATTAGCCTCAGTTCTGAAAACTGAAGAAGGCTGAGCTGCACTCACATTTATCCTTCTATTAGAAGAACAGAAATGTTTGTTAAAAGTTGTAATCTATTTTTGCTAGTGAGAATACAGTGAACTTTGGAGTGTTAAGACTATGCGAACTTAATTTGTTATTAACAGAATTGTTGATAAAGTGTTAGATTGTGCACACACAATAAATTGTTATCCTGCTACTAGCTTTACTCTGTTCCTTCTTACACAAGATTGTAGGTAAGTTATCACCATATACTGTTGAGCAATTTATGGAACGAAGTTGCTAGTGATCCTTATTTCCATAGGTTATATTTTATTTTCTCTTTTTGTAGTTATAGGTCATTATAATATTGTAATAAAGGTTATACAGGAGTATAATTATAAGACATACCTTTCTGAATCCTGACTGACTGTTGTAAAAACATATATTTTTATATACACATTGTACCTCTTTTGGCCTACAATGCAGGTATAGGCTTTTAGTTTTAATTAATAATGAAATGCAAATATATTATCACTCTAAAGCTTTATGAGTAAGAACTAGAGAAGAGAAAGTTGAGTTTTTGTGTGTGAATGTGTGCGTGTCTTAAGTAAAAAAGGGCATTATTGGAGCAGAAATAATTTAAATCTGAAAGTAAATCAGTTTTCTCTGCTTTATATTCAGATTATTCCATTAATATTGAGTGGCTTATGGTTTAGATCTCCCCTTGGAAGTTCTCTTGCCTGTTATTCATGCAAGACCATGTTCATAAGGTGTTCCTTATTTAGCCTACTTAGGAATTTCAAGGATTTTTGTAAATACAACTTAATGGTGTTCAGAAAACACTATGACAATGTAATTCATACTGTATTTAGTTACTTTTTTTTAGTACATTCTATTTTTTTCTTCATAACTGGAGAACACCATTGAATAGATTTTGGTGTTATCATTCCTTTTACTTTATATAATTGATATGATTAATTTTTGTTGAATTAACTGGGCCAGTTTCTTCAGGTGAAAACTTGAGAAAATTTATAAATCTAGGGTTTGTTTTGACTCCTGATGTATTTGTTTTGACAGTTAAACAAAGTGAGCAAACAAGACAGTGCTTGGTGTGTTCCACAAATAGTAATAAATAAGAGACAGAAAATATCCAGGGTGAAGAAACTGCATTGTTTCTTCAAGTGGATTCTACATAAACAATTAACATATTTTGTATGTTTTGTGTATTATATTCTTACAATAAGCAAATTAAATAAAAAACAAATACCGCATGTTGTCACATATAAATGAGAACTAAACTTTAGCTGGGTGCACACAGACATAAAGATGAGAATGGCAGATACTAGGAACTGGTGAAGGATGAGGGAGAAAACAGGCTGAAAAACTGCCTGTTGTGTACCATCTTCACTGTTTGGGTGCTGGTTTCAATAGAGGCTTAAATCTCACCATCAGACAATATACCCATGTAACAACTCTGCATATGTACCCGCTGAATTAAAAAAAAAAAAAAAAAGATACCAGGTTCAGTGGCTCAACCAGTAATCCTGTCACTTTGGGAGGCCACCTCAGCCTCCCAGAGTGCTGGGATTATAGGCATGAGCCACTGCGCCCTGCCCAGAACTATTTTTTTTATAATTTCCTTCATTGGCTCTGGAGAGACCAAGTGCTCACAGAGAAACATCACCATCACATTGTGTGTTAAACTGGATCTCACTCTTTCATTCACCACATAGCAGCATGAGGTGGTCACAAAATGATTTAGTGACACAGTATGTGCCATAGGTAATTTTATGCAGTTATGAGTTAATACTGCATCTTTACATTTATATACATTCAACCGGTAGTAGTACCATGTGTAACCTGTAAGTGTAAAAATTTTAAGTTTACCTTTGCATGATAGGTTTGTAAATGTTTTATGGCTGTCAGTGGCAGAATAGACTAGGATATACTTGTATTTGATGTGTTTGTGACATATCACCCTGATAAAATATATTTCTAAACTGTGTTTTCTGATTTCTTTTTTTTTTTTTTTGAGTCGGCGTCTCACTCCATTGTCCAGGCTGGAGTGCAGTGGCACACTCACGGCTACCCAGGAGATGACTTACTGGGCTTTGGTGATCCTTCTCCCTCAGCCTCCCAAGTAGCTGGGACTAAAGGTGTGTGCTACCATGCCCAGCTAATTTTTTTATTTATTGTAGAGACAAGGTCTGCCCAGGCTGGTCTCAAATCTCACGGGCTCAGACAATCCACTCACCTCAGCCTCCCAAAGTGCTCGTATGACAGGCTGAGCCACCGAGCCTGGCCTCAAAGTGATATTTCTAAACTTTGTTTTCCGATTTTTTGTTGTTGGAGTCTCACTCTGTCGCCCAGGCTGGAATGCAGTGGCATGCTCATGGCCACCAAAGCCTTGGCCTGCTGGGATCAAGTGATTCTTCCACCTCGGACTTGCAAGTAGCTGGAACTACAGGCACACGCTACCTCGCCCAGCTAACTTTTTTATTTATCATAGAAATGAGGTCTTCCCAAGTTGCCTAGAACGGTCTTAAATCCATGGGCTTTGGCAGTCCTCTTACCTCGGCCTCCCAAAGAGCTGGGACTATAGGCATGAGCCATCATGCCGAGCATAAATTTTTTTTTTTTTTTTTTTTTTTGAGTTGGAGTCTCACTGTGTCACCCAGACTGGAGTGCAGTGGCCGCTCCCGGCCACCGCAGCCTCGACCTGCTGGGCTCCAGCGATCCTTCTGCCTCAGCCTTCCAAGTAGCTGGAACTATAAGCGCACGCCACCATGCCTGGCTAATTGTTTGATTTATTGTAGAGATGAGGTCTTGCCAAGTTGCCCAAGCGAGTCTCGAACCCGTGAGCTCAGGCAATCCACTCACCTCAGCCTCCCAAACCGCAGGATTACAGGCTGAGCCACCGAGCCCGGCTAGCATGAATATTTTTTTAAATGATTGCAAATTGTCACCAAAAAAAAAAATCCAAAGTATTTATGAAAAAAAGTGGGCCATGCAGGTAAACCCATGCTGTTCCCAGTCTAACTGTACAATGAGAGAAATAGAAAAATAAATGTGGAAATAATAAGACACTACAGTGTTCACTAGCCATATTTTTAAAGGACCAAACAAAAAAATAACCAGTTAAAAATTTAAATCAACTTTATATGCAATGTATGGACTAAACATTAGATTCGAACTGATAACAGAATAGAGAGCTGAAATATTGAGCACAATTTATATACTCACAAAGTAAAGAAAAAGGCCAGTTAAAAAGACCAACCAGGTAATAAAAAACGCAATTGCAGTTCAGCATAAATGGACTAGAATGTAAATGTCTGAAACATTTTTTCAAACATTAATGGCTTGACTAAAATATGTAAAAACAATGCAAAAATAATACCCAAGGAATTGATGATTTATGAGTTTATAAAATAACTGAGAACCAGACATGAATCTCTAAATTTAGAAGTGAAGTGTGTCAGAAATAGAAAAATGAAACAGTATTAAGAAAATAATAGTCAAACTGCATGACTCCAAACAAGGAAAAAATACCTAAAAGCAGTGAGGGTCCAGGCACAGTGGCTCATGTCAATAAGCCCAATATTTTGGGAGGTCAAGGTGGGAGGATCTCTTGAGCCCAGGATTTCGAGAGCAGCCTGGACTACAGACCAAGACTCTCTCTCTGCAAAAAATACAAAAAAGAAAAATTAACAGGGTATGGTGATGCCTGTGGTCCCCACCTATTCAGGAAACTTAGGCATAGCATTCCCTTGGCCTATAGGTTGAGGCTACTGTGAACCATAATCATGCCACTGCATTACAGCCTGGGTGATAGTGACACCTACTTTAAACAAATAAATAAAATATATTTTAATAATATTTTTATTTATTTATATATAGCAAAAAAAAAAAAAAAGCCCTAAAAGCACTGAAGGTATTTCCAAAACTTGTATTTTCCCAGAAAACAGAGAAATGAGTATTAACACTGCTGATAGAAATTATTATTAAAGCTAGTGTTGGGAGCCGGCCACGGAGGCCCACTGACCCAATATTAGGCTTAGGGATCAGGAAGGGCCATTGACCCTGAGACCACTAGGATGTGTTCGGGAGCTATTGACCCCATTTCCTCTCCCTTTCTACTCAGCACTAACCAGATTAAGCTCCTGTGAGCTCAAAACAAAAACTCTGAGACCTGGATGAACACAAGCTAACTTTAGAAGCTCATTGCTCCCATTCTTCCACAAACTGCAGTTTTGGCTTTCACACAACTTATAATTCAAACTTATGTCACATCTAAGAGCCTTAGTATTGGTCACAGGCTTCTGGGTCATGATCTTAGGATTTATTGAAGGTGTAAATTGTAGAATATAGTTTTAGAAGACAGCCATTTTGTTGAAAGAATGCGGCTGGGTTACTTGCAGGTAGCCCACTGTGAACTTTGGACTGGGCCACATTCCAAACATTCTGAGATGGGCCATTTTCGTTTGTAAAGTAAATACTTAAGCTTCTATAGAATTGTTTAACTTGGCATAAATCAATCAGCTTAGGATGAAAAAGGTTTATAGAATATATCAGTCACAGATTAGGTTATCCTTTGTTATGGGATTTTAAGATTATCATATGAAAAGGGTTTAAAGGCAATCATTGATTAAGTTTTCATGGATTAAGGTTTCTGGTGAGTGGGGGACCCCCTCCCACATCTGACTTTGTGTATAAAAGACCTGTTGTAATTCCCAATGACACACATCGCTTCTGCACTAGACTGGAGTCCAGTCTCTTTCTCTCTCTCTTTCTTCTTTACCCCAATCGCCGATGCTGTCTCCACCTTTGGGGTACCCTGAACCCAGGTGGAGCTGGTCTCTGGCAAGCTAGAATTGGATACTTAACTCCAAGATCTTTAAAGACTGGGGGTAAATTGAAATATTTTCCAAACGCAAGGACACCTGAGAGATTTGGTTACATTCAATAACAGTTTCTAAGGAGCACACTGTAAGAAGTAAAAGTTGTCTACCCAGCACAGTGGCACAGCCTGTCATCCCAGCACTTTGGGAGGCCGAGGCGAGTGAATTACCTGAGCCCACAGGTTTGAGACCAGCCCAGGCAACTTGGTGAGACCTCACCTCTATTAAAAATTAGCCAGGTGTGGTAGTGTGCACCTGTGGTTCCGGCTACTTGGAAGGCTGAAGCGGAAGGATTGCCAGAACCCAGCAGGTCGATGTTGGT